ATTCGGTGGGATTTCTCCGTATTGGATGTACGGATTGCAAAAGTTTTATTACTTAAATTATAGTATGCACACAGAGGATGTTTGCTACACTGGATTTTATGAGAAAATCGAAAAAAAATTATAAAATTTACTTATTTTTGGCTCGCACAGCTGTCATCTCGGATATATATTTGCTTGATATAAGAGTTTTAGAGTCCATATCTTGAAAATAAGCGGGCAGCAAACATCACATTATTGAAACGAACGATACCGAATTTGTAGAACTAAGATTGAAAAGATATATTCCCACCGAATAGGAAATACGTGTACACAGATGCTTTGCGGAGACTGGGACTGTCAACAGAGCCGAAATTCCGTGTAGTAGTAGTTGCGCGGTCTTGCGATAGATGGTGCTGGCATATGTTAGATAAGAACAGATGTATGCGTTTGAGTAAGACAGAATGATATGTATTATATAATATAATGTAAAAACTAAATCAAAGATGTCGCCACTATTATCGAAATTGGAATTAAAAAAGTCTGTACTATCGACCTTGATTGAGTTGGGTAATCGGTTTAGCATCCCCTTAACTAACCGAGGTGCAACTTATTTCTCATCTTTTTCCAATCCTAGAATTCGAAAGAGATTAGGACTAACAAGGAGAGGCTACGCTCTGCTCTTTACCGATTTTAATCGAACTTGCAGCAATATTAGAGGAGCCTACTAAATGAACACCTGTAAAGCCGTTTCCGTTAATGGGCCTTAGAAGCTGAGTAAAAATGAACATTTAAAAATATACCAAAAATCTGAAAACAGTCTAATATTTCGGAAAATAAAACGCATTTTTGAGAGAAAAATGTCTTAAACAAAAAGGGAGGCATTGTCTACCTTGATTTGATCTTGGCGATGCCACCCAAGGTTAAACCAATTATAAAACCAGTAAATACATCTTATTAAACCCTACCATTTTTGTTTAAGACATTTTTCTCAAAAATGCATATTTTCCGAGATATTAGACCCTCACTATTACGATATCGCCTACACTCTCAACCAAACTACGATTAACTTAATCTAAGATTAGCGATATCCTATTTCATTAGAATAGACTTCGCGTGAATAGAATTAATAGTCAAATTTTGTTCACCGGATAAAAAGACGAAGAATATTGTACTTACATACAACTAGAAATTTCCCGGGCAATCACCCGCGGGTGATGATTTAACCTAACCTAACTTCTCCGCGTGACGTCAATCACGGCAACGCCAGTGTCGCCAGTTTCCAACAGTTCGGCAGTTCGGTTCTCAGGGTATAAAGATCGTGTCCGACTTTTGCAATATGTCCACGTAGGATCCGATCCTCCCGTCCCGGAAGAAAGAACCGTTCGATATAATGACTTCGTAGTCTCGAGGTGAACGTCTTTGCCAATTATCGCGCATGACTCGCGTAACGATCGTAACGATACCGCGGCATTCCGAAATTCAGAGCTGTTGGAATGCCGCGATGAATTTCCCACGTTTCAATCATTGCTCCGTTTGCTTTCTCGCACACCGAAGCTAACAATCACAGCCGCGAGGTACACTATATATGTCACACGGCATGAAATATTTATGTGAATTATTTTTTGAAATAGAAATATTTCGTATACATTTATAAAATATTTTAAAATGTCGCATATAAAGTATTTTACAAAAATATTTTAGAAATGTGTGTTATACAAACATTGTAGGAAAAAGAATATTTCAAAAGCACTTCCTGGTCGTATTTATATTTTAGAAATATTTTATGAAAAATTTCTGAAATATTTTAAATCTTGCAGTAAAATATTTCTGAAATATTTCATGCTGTATGGGACATTTTGTTGATGCGTCATGTTGAATTTGAACTTGAATTTCCGGAGCATTCCTCAATTTTCTATCTCATCTAACGCCTCAATTATTTTTGTTTATCCCACATGTTGAACTGTAGACGCAAGGAAATTGCTAGGCTTCAAATATTCTATTTCAATGCATCTGTTTTTTATTCCTGTATCAGACCACTGGATTTTTCTGTTTTACTTTTGTCAAATATCAAACATATACTTGTTTCATTTTAAGTTCCATAAATGTACTGATCCAGTTTTAGAAAACAGATCTATATAACTTGTAGATTGATTGTTAACATAACTGTAATCCTTAGCCTTTACAACTAACTGATGTGACCATGGCCAGTCCAAGAACGCGACGAGTGCTGAGTGAATTAAAGCCGAAGGACGAGAACAATGTAAGCTTGATTGAGAGCAAGATGAAAAATATAACAAGTGCTTTCTCTCTCTTTTTTGTTACAAAGATTAGATATTAGGTATTTAGTATTTTTAAAGTAAATTTCAGTCAAATGTTTAATTGAAGCAAATTTTTTAATTTAAATTGTAACTTCCATATTTTTGGTAAATGTAATTTTTATTGTTTATCTCACTGCGTAGAATTGAAATATCACTCATTTGTTTATAACATCATAACTCGAAGCATAAAGAAAATAATATTTCAATGTTTTGAATTGATATGTAATACATTTATTTTTCATTAATATATACCTAAAGAAAATTCATTACATGTACCTATTAAGAAAATGAAGTTAATTAGTAGCTCCTTGCAACTGACTTCTTTACGATTGTGAAATTTATATATTTTGTATTTTGTAGAAATGTTTCGAATGTGGCAGCCACAATCCGCAATGGGTATCCGTGACGTATGGCATTTGGATATGCCTAGAGTGTTCAGGCAAGCATCGTGGTTTAGGTGTACACTTATCGTTTGTCCGCTCTGTCTCTATGGATAAATGGAAGGATGTAGAACTGGAAAAGATGAAGGTCGGTGGCAATAGAAACGCCCGAGAATTCTTTGAGAATCAATCCGACTGGGACGAATCTATGTCAATCTCACAGCGTTATAATACAAAGGCGGCGGCATTGTACAGAGATAAGGTAAAGAGATTTATCGTACACTTTTACATCACACTAAGTCCCTTTAGAGTTACTTCATTCGCTTAAAAATATTTTTTATTTGCTTAGATCGCTACATTGGTGAGAGGAGAGTCTTGGAGTCCAAACAGTTCAACAGCGAAGGAGTTTCAGCCTTCGACGTTTATTAAAAATAAGCAAGAATATTCGTACCAAAACGATTTGTCCTCTTCTTATCAAAATATGGACTCGAATAATTTGAAGATACAGACGGAATCCTTCTTTGTGAAGAAACAGAATGAAAATGCCAATCGTCCAGAGTAAGTCTGTAGTCTGGCTTTTATTTTCTATATCAGGTATTATGATACAATATTTAATATATTATAGAACATGGAACAATTAAGAATATAAATAAATGGGAAATATAAAGATTTGAAAAACGAAAGAGTGAATAAGTTTAAATATTTGAAGAGTTTATGAGAACCGAAAAATGTGATAGTATTGTAAGAATGGAAGTGTGCAGTTAAGATAGAAGAAGTAGTTATAACGTTATCGTTTTAGTAATATCCCACCTAATCAAGGCGGTAAATACGGTGGCTTCGGCTATCAGATGGATCCACCACCCAAGAGTTCGTCCCAGGAATTGTTCGACACCGCAGTATCATCATTAGCGAGTGTACGATTTTTAACGTTCACTAAATGTCTGTAATTTAAAATTAACGAATTAATCTATTATTTCTTACTATTATGTAGGGATGGTCAATATTCTCTTCCTCGGCGTCAAAAATAGCAAGCAAAGCTACCGAGAATGCAATTAAGATCGGAGGACTCGCGACGCAAAAGGCAAGTGTACAAATTTCGAGAAAGGCTCTCGAGTGTAAACTAATTAGGGATTAAAAATTAATTTTTTTTCTTTAACGAGATTGAAGAACAGGATTAAAGCATTATTGTTCATTTATTTTTACCCATTCATTTATTTTCGATTAGAATTGCCATGCATAAACGCGAGATATATTAATTTTCGTTATTATTTTTGTACATTTATTTTCATTAATTCCTCTATCGAATTTATAATTCTTATTTTGAAGACATTTTTATTTCGTTTTTCTCTGTTTATATTAAATCATTAGGTTCGTGATGGCACATTATTAGAGGACGTAGGAAGCCAAGTCAATCATTTGGTTACAAAGGTATAAATTCTTTCGTTTGCTTTTTCTGTTCTATTACTCATTTTTTAATTGTTAAAATTAAATTATTGGAAATTATTGTTATAAGTCATATATATGTAGATAGATGTCTTATCAAGAAATTTAGAAAAAAAAATAATGTACAGGTTGGGGATATAACGAGACGGGGAGGATGGGGTGATATTGCTGGGACCAATTCAGCGGAACAACAAAGGCAATATGATTCCACAGATCGATATCAGTATTCCTCTGACACGTATCAGAATAACGATTTAATATCAAATCGCTCCAACGAAAAATCGTCTCTTGTAAGAAGCTCCAGTTCAAAGTACGTACCTTCTAAACTTCAACATATAAAAATAAACTTTTATTAAATTATTAATTATTAATAAGTCTGTGTAAGTAAAATACAATCGATTTATTCAAAATTTATTCCTTGCTTATTTCAGGAGCAACATTTCCGCTGGAGATTCTTCCAACACCTCGAACTGCGATTGGGATTGGGACAACGACACGAAACAAACAAGCAAGACGGTAACTTCAAAGAGACAACCAAAGGCGGAGAGAAGAGAAGAATCATTGATCAATTTCGAAACGGACAATAAGGCACAACAGAATTGGAACTCGAAAGCGGAAGACGACGCCTGGGAAATATTAAATAATTAACCCTGATATCACACACACATTAGCGCGAATTAGGAAATGAGGATATCGATATATGTTAATTTTAAAGATTATTAAAGAGAATTAAAGGACAGATATATGCATTTATATGAGATGGGTTTCTTAAGTGACCTATTTTCCTTGTAAAATAGGATACAATTTTATTCAGTAATTCATAATACAATAAGTAATAAATCACATAATTATTATTAACATATTAACTGTACAATATAAAATCGTAATCTATTTTTAAGTCTTACAATTCTTTTGAGGATTTCGAATATTCAAACTCCAAAAAAAAAAAATTAACTTGGAGAATTCAAGATTATAAATCTACGATTTATATCATTTTATTAGATCTAAGACGAACAGTTTTCTGCTGTTTTCTTCTATCCGGCATCATTCCTGAAATAAATGGTACGATTGTTTAGACAGCCACTATAAAAATTAATCTTCAGATATCCAAGACGTTTAAAAACGTCATAACGTTGTAAATGCGAAGTCATTTAAAGATTTTTATATTTTTCGATTGCGTTATTGATGTACACACTGTATTATAAAATAATTACAAAAACAATAAAATTTTATTTTAAAAAATGCATAAAAGTATTCATTCTATAATGAAAACACATTCGATGATAATACAATTATTAAACACAGATTAACAAAATGCAGTTTATATATACCATTGTGTATAAATAAATTAAATAATTAAGTGTAAAAATTATAAAATTCGGTTTTAAGTCTAATCATAAAGGCGATATCTAAGGATTAATATAAAAAATAAAACTAACTTTTTTCGTGTATATGTTCTTCTGATTGGCGATCTACTGTAGATATGTATTTTACTTAGATATCTCAGAAGATCCGGTTGTGTGTTTGGCCACACCTCCTCTATTATTTCTGATAATAATTTGTGTAACACGGTCGCGGAATTATGTGAAAGTTGTGGTGCCGGCTGATTCGTCGTCATTTTATAAAGAAACTGGTACACTTCACTGAAAATTATACATCAATTATTCAATAAATTTATGGACTCGAAAACTCAAGTATCTGATGTGAAGTGTAGACTTGATTAAATAACACTTGTTATATATATACATATATAAACTATTTTAAATATATACAGAGTACTCTACAGTAGATGAGACAAAATTTAAAGATTGATTTTAGATTAAAAAAAAATAAGGTGAAAATAGAGAACAAAATTGTGAATTTGTCTTCATATTTAATCATAAATGTTCAAATATTCATATAAAAAGTGCCTAAAACACATATTTAGGCATTTACAAAAACAAAATTTTTACCAAAATTTTGTTATTCTAGATTTTGTAATATTCTGAATGTTTAAATATTCACATAAAAGTGCCTAATAATGCATGTAAATGTTTAAATATTTATAATTAAGAAATGGAACCAAATTCATAATTTTGATATTCTTGAATTTCATTTTATTTTAATATTTAGACTTGCACACTCCTTAAATTTTTGTCCTATCCCTGTTGTTGAATACTTTGTATATATACATACATCAAGTAATCAATAGAATCATATATTAGCAGAATAATAGAACTAATAAAATTAAATGTGTAAATAACAGAAGATATTTTTGGTCCCAGAAGGCCATCAATATTGAGTGATACAATATTGAAAAGTAAATTTTATGTACAAAGAAACAGACCACTCTTAATTAATGTAATACAAAATTTTCACACTTTTTATAATAAAATAGTATTAACACAAAATTTATATATACAGTACAATAACATTCTGCAATTAAAAGAAGGGCGATGCTCTCTACATCATACCTAAAGTCACATTCTGTTTTCTTTTGATGAGGCAATGAATGCTGCTCGTACAATGCGATGAATAACAATGCCATAGGTACATTACATTCGGATTCCTCGAATACATTACTGCGTAACCAGCCAACTATCGAAGGTTTGTTCTCAAGGAAAGTCTGTGTCAATTCGAGCGCTGAATGCATTTTAGATTGGCGTTCATCCACAGACATACCCAGAATGCTATTAAAAGGAAGATTCTGTCCATGTTTAAAGAGATCATTCAATACTGTAATGGCGTTCTCTTTGCTACCAAAAGGAAGCTTGCCTTCCTTCTTTTTACTATTGTTATTACTCTCATTGTTGTCATCTTCATTTTTCTCCATTTTAATGGTTACTCCGCTAATAAACGATTTCTGACACACTGCAGAAATACAAAAGCATACTTTAAAACTAAAGAAATGTTAGTAAATAAATAGGAGATGAATAATGAAAGTTAAGTAAATAAAATAACAAATAAAGTTTAATTTTTTCATCAACAACATTCGCAAATTAACAAGAGACTAGATTGATCTTAAAGATGAGAACTACCTTGAAAAAAATGTTCCGATTGTATTAACAAAACAAATTCTTATATCAATCAGAATTCTGATTATCGATAGAGAATTTCTAGTTATCTCGACAAAAATGTTTGATAGATTTAGATACTATGAGTATCTGGATTTGTATCTTTCTGATTGAATTTGAGAATTCTAATTAATACAATAAGACTTTTTCCAGTGCATGAATGCCAGGACTAGGTTAGGATTCTCTCCACGAGTTTTTCCTCAAATTTGCAACGTATCTTTTAAAAAACAAATGCGTTAAAATGTGTACTTTACCTTTATCTGTTAATTATCGTGCAAATGATGCGCTGTCACAACCGTAATTACAAAATCTTTTCAATAACATATATGTGCCTTGCTTCATCCACAAATTGTTGTCATATCACATAGTGAAGTTGGTAGCAATTGGTGGCAGTTCGGCCATTCCGGACAATTGGCTTTGGTAAAAAATGATAAAAATCGTACGGTAGCCAATCATCTCCCGTTATATGTTTAAAGGTTGGCTGCCATGTGATATATAATAATAATTATTATTCCCCAGATCTATCTGTGTACGCCACACGAAGAAGCCAATGTTGTATTTACTTATGTGTTTATATCGCGGTTTTTGTACATTTCTGCAAACTTCAGCCTTCAGCTTCTGAGAACGAGACGATCTCTTTTTTTCAACGAATGTTTGTGACCTCCTGTCATAAAGCTGTCCAACCTCGACGAGTGAGTATTTGAAACGCGAGGAAAAGAGACAGAGAATGTCTTGTTTAAATAGGTAAACGGTTTTTAGTTGTAAGAAATACCTGAGAGAAATTCACGTGATCTCCGATTCACGTTAGAGGTTATTTTTCTTCATCCGATTATAACGAAGCTTTGCTAGTAAATGTTCGTTTTCTCTCAGAATTATAAAATAGCTTGTCTCCAACAACGTATCTCATTTTTGGAACATCGATCCTTACATAGTTGCAATTCGGACAAAGAAAAAGAGCAGAGTCGATTACTAATAATTGAGATTCCCTGAAAATATATTCTTAAATTTAACAAAAAAAAAATCTAGAATAGTTATATATAATATATAAACTTTTTAAATCGTTAAATATTGGGAACATTTGTAATACTAATAATTAGGTAAATAATGTAAATACATATACAATTTTTTATATAATTATGTAATTATATTGATATATTCTCGATATAACTATTTCAAGGATATATTCTTAATTAATAAATTTAGGTATAATATACATAAATTGTAAACTGTTAAATATTAAATTGTTAATATTTAATAATTTTAATATTAAATATAAAAATTATTAAATATATACATTTTTAATATAAAATTATATTAAGGATATATTGTAAATTAATGATTATGTAAACATATATTAAATATACATTTAACAAATTAATAGTTATTTATATTTAAAAAAACTTCTGAGCACGATCAAATTTATTCCAAAAATGACGACAAATCAGAGAAACGTTTATTGTAACGTGAGTATGCTTTGCTTGTTCCTAGAAAGGACCGGAAGCGAGCCAGCATGCCGGAGCCTGTGAATCACCAGGTGAACGCCGCTCGTAAGACGTTCCAGACTCTCTACCAGATCTCTAAGCTGCTGAACACGAATCTTGATCCAACCACTTTGAGTATCTGTATCAGGCTGTGTGAGAACGGAGTGAATCCACATGCCCTCGCGACAGTGGTGAAGGAACTTCAACGAGAAGTCAAGGCGATGAACGATGGACAACTGGAATCTTCCACCAGCAAGACTAGCACAACCAAGTGAACGCAAACAAGTATGACGCTATTGTTACCCTCCCACAATGTATACAGAATTTATCTTGCGTTGTTAAAAAAATATACGTTCTTGAATGTAGATAGTATATTTTATTTATTATATGAATAAACTAATAAACGTACAGTGTAAACTTAACGCTTGATAGAAACAATTTGGTTCCTGTAAACAAAGTAGAAAAAAATATTTCTCGAAAGTATACTTTTTGTATAAAAATAGACAAATGGAAAACGTTTCAGAAATTAACCACGAGATTACAACTCTTTTTTCGATTTCTTGGCACTTGGCTTTTTCATCGACTCGTCAATTACAATGCTTTCTCCCTGGAAAGAGATAAATGTTTCTTTTATTTCTCACACAAGAAAGTTTACAAACATCCAAAGATTTCGTCAATACGTTATCGTTACCTCCTTTAGTAGTGGATAATATGACTGTCCATCGATCGTGACATGACCCACTTCAGGCTGCTGTAGCAAATAATTTTTACCCTCGATAGCCTGAGCTCCGTCGTGGAACATGAATATGAAACGTTTATTTTCAATTGGATATCTGCACAGTAAACATTTCAAATATTTTAACTAATCTTTTATCTTGGAATGCTTTTAAAGTGCCTGAGCATATCTTGGGTGCAACGATACTGTACCTTTCCATAGTGATATGATTATTCTGTAGGCCAGTCTGCCAGATACGAGTCATAACATCTGCTTGCTCCTCTGAAACATTTGACTGAAGATCTACGAACATCATAACGCCTTTTCCTTTTTTCGTTGCTTTTAGCATACTCTCTGGATTTCTTATGTCTAGCTGCAATGGATAGTTAAAAACAAATGAATTTGTATATTTGCGTATTCTTAATCATCTGCCAACAATATGAATTTTAACTTTTCATCAGCAATAGAGGTCTTTGAGAAATAGAACAAATTTTTTATTGTACCAATTTAAAAAATAGGAAAAAATTCTTACATATTTGTCAAAACTTTAACAATGAGCTTTTCTGATGATAGAAGTAGGATTGTATTTTACTTATTTTTTACAGATTTAAATTGATCAAAATTTACAATAAAAAATCAACAGTGCCTTTAAAGTTACAATGCCAGTAGAGGATTAAACAATGGTTTCAGATTTTTATGTAAAGTGGTATATTACCTTGGATATATCTAGCTTTGGAGCAGGTCGCAAGTGTTCCGGCAACTCGTCTGGCTCCAGGGGTTCATCGTTTGCCTAAGATATCATATTAATCAAAAAGTTCATTCGCATTGCTTTCGTCTTATTGATTTTAAGTCGCACAGGGACAAAAAACGAATTTTGTTTTATATGAGAATTCAATGTAATGGCCATACTTCCCACTGTTCCAGCAAACGCTCTGCATCAGCGTCCGTCATGAACATCATGTCCTTGTCTTTCCATGATTTCTTTTTCCGTTCTTTAGTATCAGACGTGGACACCACCATTACGAAGAACATAAACAGGCCCAGGATAATAATCCTCGATTTCATTTTGTAAATAATGGAAAATCACGTCTTTACCAGGAATGATTTATAGTGATGCGCTACGAACATCACAGATGTGTTTCTGAAAATTCGAAAGAAAGCCCTCTGTTTAAATGGAATTAGCAGTTTCTCTTTAATTCGAACTTTCGTTCAATAATCGAAAATCAACCAAACATTCTGTGACATTGGAATGCCACGGAATCAATCGTGTTACATCAATTATAGCAAGTATTAATATTATGCCTATTCCGACGTTTTCTTCAAAATGCAATATAAGAAGAGTTTAGCTGAACACTAAAATTCGAGCAATTTGAATTTAACAATGCATAAAAAATATAACAAACACAAATAGAAACGTCGATCTGTTACCTTCAGTCGAATCTCGCAATTCCACAATACATCAACTCGAACTCCAGTCTTTATATTGCCACAAACGCGCAAGCACTTCGTACCAACTAAATCCAGGAAGAACAAAAAATGACCAGATTTAGAAATAGGGATTTTATTTCCAGCCTAGGGATTTAGGTGCAGGTTACTTTACGCTGCAAATTCTTTGGCACATTCTTTGATTGGTCAATTCGTAAAAATCATTCTTCTGATTGGTCATGCATGCGACGCGAACAAACTTTATGAGTGCGATTTAAATGTATAAGGGCCACTTTCACCAAACTCAGTTAACTTAACTAGGCCGGTTAACTGAGCTTAGTGAAAGTGGCCCTAAACCAATTATATTAAAAAATTTTACACAGTTGCAAAAGGTCTGTTCGCATTGCTTGCACTTTTTGTAGTCGGCATCTTCGCTTTCTTTCTTTTCAAAGCCAAATATATATATATCTTATTTTAAGTGCAGAAATATTTGGGAATTTTATGCAACGCGAACAAACCTAAAGTTGCTTCCGCTGCTGAGCGCAGTTAATCGACTCTCTGGCAACGCTACAGCCCATGACACGTATACAAGAACGTAAGGCCGTAACACGCAAGCAGTAAGTGAATTAACCAATCACAGTAGAGACCGTAAAGCCAGTAGCGAATTCAATGTTAAGGCCGCGACACAGACTTTAGCATAATGCATAGTGCATAAACGAATCAACTAATCAGAATCTTTCCTTTCCTCCCATTCCATGGAAAAGAAGAATTTCGATTGGTTGATTCTCTTATG